AACACGTTTCCACGATCAAACGCAAACAGGAATGAGAAAAACTTGTTTGGAAAAGTCACCTCATCGCACTACCGCCATCCTCAACCTCAATCCGATCCAAGCTTAGTTTTTCAGTTTACTTGGAATCGGAATCGGACCGTGTATATCTGTGATTCGTCTCCGGCTTACGGGGAAAACGGTGCGGTATGTGGTGGTCCAGAAGAAAAAGGGTTCCGAGAATAAAGAGATTTCAGGCCATTAAAGGTGCCGAGAGCCGGCCGAGACGTATCATAATTAGCTGGGAGAAAGATCATTAACGATCGCCATGCGGGACCCCTGTGTCTAATTGGATAACATGAATTTAATTTTATTTCATCTAATTCGGGCGCAGCATCTCCGGCCGGAGAAGCCCAGCAGAAGAGCCCAAGAACCCAGCGAACAAGCAGCCGAAATTTTTATTGCGACTGGCCAATGAACTTCCCTCTCACCATATTTTCTTCTTCCCATTCCTTTCATTCGGACATATTGCATGTGAATTTGTCCAAGACGATTATATATATTTTGTGGTAGGTTTATTGTTGTCCGAATTTAAATTTTAGCCCAACTCTGGGACCGAGCACACACATAATGAAGCCATAAGCCGCCATTTCGGCCATAAACCCATTTGAATATTAATTTTGTTAATTAACTTATTCAAATTCGAGAATCGTTAAAAATGGAAGAAATTCTTTTTATGGCTATAGCTCTATTTTTCCCAAAAAAAAACAAAGAAGGAGTGAAGGGCGAGGAGAGAGGCGAAGCGAATGAAAGGCTTTATTGTTGGTGACAAAAATACAAATTATTCACGATAATTGTGACACCCACTGAACCGATCTTCCCACGATTGTCGAGGTTGGGAATCGGGTTATCGTCATTGTGCTTTTTTCATATTTTCATTACTTTATTTGAACATAACTAGTCTTAATTTTTGAACGTCTTGTTCTATGGCAATATTGTTCTATTAAGACTTTTTGAGACTGGTACTCATTTAGAAAAATATTACTCAGATCTAAAAATATACATGTGTAATGCACATTTCTTTAATAATAATAATTATTTTCAAGCTGATACGAACTAAAAGTATTTATTAAATAATACTTATATTTTAAGTCCTATCACCGATCATCGCAATTGTTTCTGAGTGAAGGGGAAAGGCATAAAAACTATAAACTCCGTTCCGAACAAATCGTTTGCGTTGCCCATTTCCCTTTTCTTCCGCCCAGAAGGAACTGCAGTCAAATGATTTTACGAGAGAGCTGAGTGCGATCAAAGCGAAAGCGAAACTCTTGAGGGACACATGGGGCCAGTTCCTCCGCAGTTCCTCTTCAGTTCCTCCAGAACTCCAGATGGAGGGCACTGAAGTGGAGGGCAGTTGGGCATGAAAGTACAGGCAGTCGAAGGGCAGGAGTTGACTTTGACCCTGACACCGCCTTTTGGGAGACGGAGATCCCAGTGTGTATCTGTGAGTGTTGCACAATGCAAATGCAAAACGAGAAACAAATTTTACGACGTGTTTGACGGCTGTCTGTCGCTGCTGTCTGCGTGTCTCCTTGTCTTACTGACTTCGAGTTCGACTTTGAGTGCGACCCATTCCCATTTCCATTCCCTTTCCCTTTTTCCGGACCCGGCGCTCACTTCCGCACTGACTTGAGGCCCTGTCCCTGCGGGAAATCGCGGCATCCTTCATCCTGCGTCCTGTCTCGTCCCTGGTTGGCTGCCAGTTTAGCCTGCATTATTACCTGCGCGGTGTCAAATGCAAACAAGACGTTTGCGCCGGCCATAAAGTCGGCATCCTCTGGTCCTTCTTCCCTCTTTTTTTACAGCATAGGGAAAATGGTCAGATATGATGAGTGGCGCCTCGTTGGAACTGACCGTTATTGATGGGCTGTATCTCTTTCTTTTTTGCAGTATTCGATCCAGGAAGTGAGCAGACCGGTGGAGTAGATCCATCCCAAATTCAGCAGCGGTGCAGACCCACCAAGCACCGCCCCGGCAACAACTCTCAGCGGTGGCGTCCGGCCAAAACCACCTCGTTGCGCCGACAGCGGCGAGCATCTCTCCCTCCAGCGTCAGTTCCCATCCTCCAGGTAAGAGATAAGTCTGATTAATCTAGGTGCAATCAGAGAAGTATTAAAATATCTTAAATAACCTATGGAAATAAAGGGGTTTTTAAACATAAAGTTTAATTTGTTATTTATATTAAAACTCTTTTCTAAAACTTTACCTAGTTATTCTTCACTCAATAATATTGCTGCATTTTCTTATATAATATTATATAATTATAATTATGTCTTTAAATATTGATTACAAATGCTGTACATTTTTTAAAAATTTTGACAGTTTAGTTTATGTTTTAATAAAATTTAAAAAATATTAATCCAAATAAGAAAGCAAAATCAAAATTTCAAACATTTTTAATACAATTTAATTATTGTTATTTGAAGGATTCTTTTAAGGCCTTCCAAGATTTTTTCTATCAATTGTTTAAAGACCTTAACAAATATACAAACATTTGCTTAAGTCAAAACGGAATCAATAAGAAAATATGGGACATTAAATATTCAAAATGAAAGTAAGAAATGTAAGTCTTCAACTTCAATTTCCATAAGTTCTGTCACTTTCTTGAACCCTTGCATAAATGTATTACTGTAATTGCTGAGAATGGATTTTTATGCGATTGTACATACATTCTGTTGTCAAACGGGTTGAGAGTTGCTCGCGTCGCGTCCTTTTTACGATTTGTTAACATTTCTTTGCCCTCGACTCTGTGCCTTTTCTTTTCTTCCAATGGCAATTGCCATAAAATTCCCATAATTGTCCATTGCAGCGTAAAATTTGGCAAATGCCGTTCGAAGCGGGAAAGGGAAGGAAATCCGTAGAAATGTGAAGGGGGAGATAGAGAGCAGAGATAGGGGTGACAAGGAACCCGGGGTTTCTCATAATTTGCTGAATGAGCTGGCGCACGCATGTATTTGTTTAGCTAATTAACATTAATTAGTCACTTTCCTCTGATGACTCGAATAATGGGATCCTCGGTCCTTATAGAGTGGAGTTTTTCTCATGATTGGTGCTGCTGTCGGGAATCGATAACAAAGGCCCCAACTAACTACACACAAAGTGCTGCGACCTACCACGCCTCCCCGCCCCCATTCCAGCCAAATCTCGGCTGTAGAGGGCGCTGTGGTACGCGCGTGTTAAGTATTCAAATCAGCCCCCAAAAACGGGCAATAAGAGAGCGTGTTTTTTTTAGCTTGCTGAAGAGCGGAGGCCTTCACACGTACAGTGTGCGTGTGTGCTTCGCCCTCGGTGACCCTCGGCGACTTGGAGTGGAGCACCTGCTGAGCTCAGGGAATTCCTGAGCCATCGATACCATCTTTTCTTTCCAAACTGGCATGGCTAGTTGAAAAAGTGGTATTTTATTCAGAACTCTCTTTGAGCCCCCCACTCACGCACACACATGCGGCCTGTCTGGGATCCACACACACGCTGTATACACTGTACGTGTGCATAACGCGCCGCAAGAGAGCAGCAGCAGGAGCAACGGCAACGGCAACAGCAACGGCAGCAACTAGCAACCACCACCAGCAGCAGCAGCAACATCAACGGCACAGCAGCAACATCGGCGCATGCCCGCGCTCTCTTTCGAGTCACACGGACAGGGAGGCGCCGCTGCCTTTTGTGCTAAGCTGGCTGGCCTCTTGACTCTTTAAGCGAGAAAGGGAGAGGGAAGGGGGAGCGAGAGCGAGAGAACGCCACCGCTTCTGAGTTTGAGTTTCTGGTTCTGTTTCCGTGCTGTGTTGTCGGTGTGCCAGCGATATGTTGTCGCCGTCCGTTGCTGCCTGTCAGTGTAGATTTGTGCTTCGCTCTGTTCGGTTGGAAGGCGCGCGGGCGTCCATCAGCAACTACAACAGCAACAACAACAGCAACTACAGCAGCAACATCCAAGTCAAGCGGCCCTGCAACTTCGTCGAGGACTGGGACTTGAGCGATTTCCTACTCGCCGTCCATTCAGCTGGGAGTGTTTCGCTCGCACGGTTCAAAAACCAAACTTGAACATTTTCAAAAATATTATAATAAATAAATACAAACGCTTTTGGAATCGTAAAAAAATTTAAATCAAAACACCAAGTCCCCCGGCGATGTGAGGAGAAATAATAACATTTTGTTAACTGTTGCAAACATTGCGTTTAATTGTTTGTTTTGGTCGTAAAATCAAATTTTATGACCAGCAACATAAAAAGCGAACGCCAGCAGCAGCAGCAACAACAGCAACAACTACTGCAGGCCTTTAAAAATAATAAACTATTTATGATAATTATAAAAAAAGGAAAAGCAAAATAAATAAAAACAAAGACCGGCCGAAAAGTGAAAAGAAAAACTTTGACCAACAAGAGAAAATTCGGAAATTGGAAAATTTTTGAAAATTGGAATAAACGAAAGAAAACTGAAAAAAGCCAATTTGAAAATATTGCGTGAGTTTCTGGCGACCGCGAACACCCTGTGCAAACCGAAACTGATTCGATCCCCTGTGCGACAGCAACAACAAAGTGACTCTCTTTGCCCGCTCTTTAGGCGCTGTGCGTGTGTGAGTAAGTCGGCGTGTGCGTGTGACCGCTGACGGACGTCTGTGTGCGTGTGCGGTACGCAAAAATAAAAGGGGCAGAAAAATACAAAAACTGCTTTGGATATTTAAAAAAAAAAATATAATTGAAAACGTAAAAAAATTAAATAAAAATTAAACAATTAAAAAGAAGTCACAAAAGATAAAAGACAGAGAAAGGTCGGTGGGTCGAGGCGATCGACCCAACTGCACCGCCTTAGACCCTCGCCGCCGCAGTTCGAGTGCAACGCGTCCAAGATAACCGTAAATATTCCACCCCTCCCCCAGACCCCAACCATCCCGCTGGCGTGCGCTCTCTACGACCCCCACGATGTCTCGGCAGTCGGGTCGCACGCCGCTGCCGGGGCGTGGTGGGGGCATCACACACACACCCACTCCCACCTACCCACCGCCCACCCGCATCCGCACCCGCATCCGCATCCCCAGGCGCATCCCTCCCTGCCCGCCATGCAGCAGCACCACCTGCAACAGCAGCAGCAGCAGCAGCAGCAACAACAGCAGCAGCAACAGCAACAACAGCAGCAGGAGCAGCAGCATCTGCAGGAGCAGCAACATCTGCAGCAACTGCATCACCATGCCCACCACCACCTGCCTCAGCCTCTGCACACCACCAGCCATCACCACAGCGCGCATCCCCACCTGCAACAGCAGCAACAGCAGCAACAGCAACAACAGCAACAGCAGCAACATGCAGTGGTCCCCTCCTCGCCGAACTCTCTGCTCCAGCAGCAGCAACAGCAGTCAACTCCCACCACACATTCCACGCCCACGCATGCGGTCATGTACGAGGATCCTCCGCCTGTGCCAATTGTCGCCGTGCAGCAGCAACTTCTTCCCGCTCCGCAACAGCAGCAGCAACTCCAGCAGCAGCAGCAACAACAGCTGGCGACAACACCGGTGGCCGGCGCCCTCAGTCCCTCCCAAACACCCACTGGACCCTCCGCCCAGCAGCAACAACAACAGCAGCAACATCTCACATCGCCCCACCATCAGCAACTGCCGCAGCAGCAACAGACCCCGAATAGTGTTGCCAGTGGCGCCTCCGCGAATCTCCAGCAGCAGCAACAGCAGAATGCTGCAGTTGCTCCTGGCCAGACGCAGATCGTTGCGCCGACCACGGCGAGTGTTTCTCCCTCCAGTGTTAGTTCTCAGAAGGAAGGTGAGGTCCCAGAAATATTTCCAGACATGGGGTTGAAAACTATTGGGAATCCTTATTGGAAACCCTAAAACTCTGTGGGAATATGCCATAAAACATCTTCAGAAAGGAAAATGTTATAGAACAAAGTGAAATTGGGAACAGGGCCGTTTTACTTTTTTTTGTCGCCAATGCATTGAGTGTTCCAGTTTTCTTGATTGCAGCACGCTTAAAAAGGCTGATAAGGGTTTTCTTGACTTGCCTTGAGAATCGTCACGCCTTTTGTTTGTTTGTAAAAAATGTTTCTCTTTTTTTTTGGCCAATTTTATTAATTAAGATGATTCTTATTTATAGAAAATTTTAATTTCAAAAGTTAAAAGCTTCAATTTTTTTAAAAGAAAAAATTTGTATATGTTTTATTATACTACATTATTATCAAAACCATATCTCCTTTTTTAAAATTTCGAAAAAATTCGTCCAACATTTGACAACATTTTACATTTTTTACTCCAATTTGGTATTATAAAAAAAAAAATCTTATCATTTTATATTTCTTTAAAATTGCAGCTTAAACTATTGAATCATAAATTTATTCGAAATAATATTGGGTTATATTTAACAATCGACTAAATTTAAAAGTCATTAAGACACCAAACGTTTGTATCCAACAGTCTGTAATTTATAAATGGTATCAAAAAACTCTTTTTAAAAAAAGTACGGAAATTATGAAAGAATTTTTTAACCAATTCGTATACATAAACACATATTTGACCTAACAAATAAGTTATAGGTTACTATAATATTGACGTATACCAAACTATTAAGCGCTATGCCACGCCAAGTGAGAAAATGCAACAATGATCAAGTAGCCCGTGATAGAGGTCGATTTAAGCAAGCTCAAGTAGTCGTTAAAATTAGATTTGCCTGACTTTGAACAAATATTAATAGCATCCAATCCGCGTTTCCCGTTTGCTTTCAGACATCAATATGTCCATCCAATTAGCGCCACTGCACATACCAGCCATCCGGCCAGGCCCGGGATTCGAGACGGACACCTCGGCGGCGGTCAAGCGGCACCCGGCACACTGGACCTACAACGATGACGGCTTCAACCAGTATCACGCCTCCGCGTCGGGGTACTACGACCGCAAGCACATGTTCCCCTACCCCTATCCAGACACCCAGTTTCCGGTAAGTGTAAGTGTCCGAGGTCAACACCCACCACCCATCATTACCCCACCGATGTCGTAAACAACTCAGTTCCAACCCAAAATCACCTTCTCCCCCGCAGCAGTACTGGACCCAAGGCTACCGCGCCGATCAGACCACCTCCGCCGCGGCGGCAGTGGCCTACATGAACGATGCCGAGCGCCACGTCAGCGCCGCGGCCCGCCAGTCCGTCGAGGGCACATCGACGTCCAGCTACGAGCCGCCCACCTACTCCTCGCCGGGCGGACTTCGCGGCTATCCCAGCGAGAACTACTCCAGCTCAGGTGAGTCCAACAAAAAGTCAGCACATTTAAGCGCGACCAGTCTGGCAAGCACAGAAAACAAATCACTCATTTTTCAAAATTATTACAAGAATTTTGTAACAGATATTTTAAATTTTTCTGAATTGTAGTATGGAAAACTTTTAAAATTTATTGGTTGTTTTTTCTTTTTCTTGTTACATTTTTATCAGTCATTATACCCGTTACTCGTAGAGTAAAAGGGTATACTAGATTCGTGCAAAAGTATGTAACAGCTAGAAGGAAGCGTTTCCGACCCCATAAAGTATATATATTCTTGATCAGGGTCACTAGCCGAGTCGATCTAGCCATGTCCGTCTGTCCGTCTGTCCGTCTGTCCGTCTGTCCGTCTGTCTGTCTGTCCGTCTGTATGAACGCTGAGATCTCAGAAACTACAAAAGCTAGAAGGTTGAGATTTCCCACACATATTCTTTGGCTTCCTACGCAGCGCAAGTTTATTTTAGCCGAGCGCCACGCCCCCTCTAACGCCCACAATCGCCCACTAACGATTTTAAAATGGGTCCTGTGCCCACATCTTTAAAGATTTCCGAGAAGTATAAATGCAATTTTGTTGTGTATATTTATACCTATCGAAATGTAGAAGACATTTTTCAAATCGGACCATTCATTAAAAAGTTATACGCAATCAAAAACTATATATCTATCTCCCTCGCACTCCCTTTAGCTGAGTTACGATTGTTAGTCGGGACACCAACCCGACACAGCGTTCGCACTCCCTTTAGCTGAGTGACGGGTATTAGATAGTCGGGACAACAACCCGACTATAGCGTTCTCTCTTGTTTTAAAATGTTTTAATTAAGAAATATTGTTTATTGACCTTCTGATCTTTTTTTTGCCTCATACTTACAAATAATGTTTAATGTTCAATATTCGGAATAGAAGTAAATATCGGCCTAGATTTTGATTTTAAACATTAATTATTACAATTTAATCTTATACTTAGATCAATTCTTCAATTTAATTGAATGCTGTCTTAAACTCAGAATGATAGAATTTTCAATACTTCATAAAAATAAAAATAAAATAATCCCCTATGGGTTAAAAAGTTTTTGATCTCTCAATATTCAGTTAAAAAATAAATACGATTTTTCTATGTGCATTGAAAGTTCTGTAGTTGTTGTGTTGCTGTTTTGTCACCGTATCGGTTGGAATAGCGAATTGCGAAACCGGCAAGTTTGTCGTTCAATTAGCGTACTGCAAAACAGCCCATAAATCGATTCTCGCTATTTGGCTAGCGTTACGCCTTAATGTGGGTGTGAAAGTCGTTGGAAGTGCATTCTATGGGGGTTGCCTGCTTATGTTTGTGTCTTATCACCAGAAGTTTTCGAACCGTCAGAAGAGTGTCTGTCAGCAATTCATATTTTCCCGGGGAGCCCCCAATAGTAAAGACAGGTATTTATCGGTGTGTATTTCATTGAAACGACCTCACCAGCCAGTTTTACAATTATAATGAAGGTTTTCTGGGGTCTTGGTAGCAGCTAATTAATGGTTAATAAAAAGAAAGATGTTTCGATTTCAAAAGCTGCCCGATTAATGTGACTTTCTACTAGCATTTAAATAAAAATAAATCCAACTTGTCACTTATTTTGTACATTAACTTAATTGCTTCATTTGGGCGCCCAATGAGCGGGAACGAATGTATTCATTAAACATTAACCACTCGGGTGTGAATATGGGCCTGATGCCAATTCGGAGCTCCGCTCCCCGTGCCGCGCCAATTAAGGGGCCATAAACGCTGAATTGAATAATTTTGTATTACGCTTATTGCTAAACAATTTCCTTAATTGCACTATAAACTTAACGATCTGATACTGCAACGAACACAAAAGCAACAACAATGGCAGCAGCGGACCACCCGTACTTTCTATATATGAAGTAAATCACGAAGTTTAACCCATTTATTTGATGATCGTTTTAGGAGCCTCCGGTGGTTTGTCGGTGGGTGCAGTGGGTCCTTGCACGCCCAATCCCGGACTGCACGAGTGGACCGGCCAGGTGTCCGTCCGGAAAAAGCGGAAGCCGTACTCCAAGTTCCAGACTTTGGAGCTGGAGAAGGAGTTCCTTTTCAATGCATATGTGTCCAAGCAGAAGCGCTGGGAGCTGGCCAGGAATTTGCAGTTGACCGAGCGACAGGTGAGTGGTTAATAATGGTTTCTAAATAATATTTATAATAATATGTTTATATCTTTAGGTCAAAATATGGTTCCAGAATCGGCGCATGAAGAACAAGAAGAACTCGCAGCGCCAGGCAAATCAGCAGAACAACAACAACAACTCGAGCAGCAACCACAACCACTCGCAGGCGACCCAGCAGCACCACAGCAGCCACCACCTGAACCTTAGCCTAAACATGGGTCACCATGCCGCCAAGATGCACCAGTGACCCTTGGACAACAGCAGCGCGGGCGCCATGGGCTTTGCCACCTACTAGCAGTTAGCCAATCCGGGTTCGGGCAATCCGCCCAACTCGAATCTGAATCCGAATCCGAATAGCAATCCCAACCCAACCATGTCCGATCCGAACCACCATCATCTGATCAAGAACGAGCTGGCCATGGACTTTCCGTGTTAGCCCAGCGATAGAGAGTTAAATGTACAAAAAACACCAGAGATCTCTAGGATGCGGGATAGGAATATGTAGCCAGGAGGAGGAACAGGAGGAGGATCTGGAGAAGCAGCTGCCCAGAAGTGCGCAGGCGTCGCTGATGTGTGACCAAGCAGCCGACGTTGATGGAAATGCAGTTAGTTATTAAGTCAGTTCTACGGATTTACGGAGATCCACAACCCAACACGATAATGCAGCTTAGTTCGGTAGTTGAATATAGATACGAGTAAGATGAAGAAGCAGCAGCAAAAGCAGCAGTTAGCAGATGCACTTGAAATTCAATTCGCAACTGTACGAAAATATATGTATGTACGTATTTCTCTCAACGCTCTCATTAACCTAGGCGAGCACTATGAATTTTCCGAACTATAAATTATGAATATGAATATACTTAAACGTCAGTGAATATAACCCCGCATAAATTATGAATACACGCGTTCGAGTAGTAGATTTTACCATAACTATCCACTTAAGAGCGGCCGGAAGCGGCGGAGAGAAGCAGAGCAGAGCAGAGCACATTGTAGACCCAGATAAATGTTCTTGAAACAAAAGAAATTGTTTAACAATTTTCGGACCCCTCACAGATCCCCGCAAATGCAAACACACACACTCCGCAGTCTAGGATAAATTTTGTCGTGTAATGTTCGTAATGTCGTGTCGTGTCCTTTGATACCTTCTAAGTTCCTGTATATAAACTAAGACATCGCGCTGATTCCCGGCCGAAGCCAGCACTCGATAACTAAATTAATGCAGATACTATATATTGCAGAGATATTCAATACTTGTATGATATGAACTCGAATTCGATTTTAGCAAATGGTTAATCGTAAGTCGCAAAACAAAAAGCAAATTTAAATGAGTGTGTGCATGTTTACTCCATAGTTGAAGTCGCTTTCGAATTAAATTAACTCTAAAACCAAGAAAACAAAAAACAAACCTACTCGTAAAGCTAAAGCAACAAAAACTAAAGAGAAATACACTTTACTGAAGTAAGCGAGTGTGGAAACGATGGAGAGATGGGGAGATGTCGAGGAGGAGTAATTAGCATACCGTAACAGCTACTTATATAACTTACACATAGTACATATAGTAATCGTACATATGCATACATATATTTTCATGTGTACCGACGCCGCTTGATCCTGATATTAAGTCTAAGTTTAGTTGTGTTGTGTAATTATCGATTTTGTTAATGTTTTGCCCCGAGCATTATATTATTATGCTAAAACCTATACCTATACCTACACCTAAACCTACACCTACACCTACGCCTATCATTATATGTGTATAATTAGCCTATACATACTTGATGAAGAAATGATTTCACCCACTGCTTTATTCATGTTCTTGTATTATTATTATTTCGAGCCCTCGATAAGTTGTAGTCTAAAGTCGGTTATGTTTATGATTATGTTCGATTATAGTTTGTTTAGTGAATTTTAATCTAGCGTTAGCAATTCTCTTTTTTAAAAAGTTAATTATTGTGAATAAAATACAACAAGTTGCAGAAGTGCAAAAATATACACACAATTCAAAAGTATCCCAAAATATTTCGCGGTACCATGCTAGCCGTATTACATTCTTCCACACTTTCTTGATTCCTTGGTATCCTTTGATTTAGTCACACCTGTTTCTTTTTTCCACCCATTATTTCGGTAAGTACACCAAAGAGGAGGAGGATGTTGACACATCGCAAGCGACCTCTCACCATCGAATTTATTCATAGACATCCAGATACTCGTACTCGTACAGAACGTAAAGCAAAATACGTATGTTATGTACCGCACTTACTCGTAAGCGGATCAGCTCGTAATCGCCACTCTCTCAGCCCAAAAAGAAATCACGAAGCTTTCTGATCATCAAACGTACACTTTCTGAATCATTTTCTAATTTCGGAGAATTTCTGCTTTTCTTTCATTACGTTTTCTGAGTTTTTTGTTTGATTTTTTCGCCTCTGGTATTGTAATACAGCGCTTAAATAAATTTAAACTAGAATTAATAGTCTTGTTTCGGCATATGTCTTAAGATTAAATAAATTATTATGTAACTGTGTGTTTTTCTGAACTTTCTTAGTGTTTAAAAGCTACTACGGTGTAAGGGCGGGTATTTTTTAAAGCTTTTTGGTACGAAGAAAATTAATTCTTATTTAGCTTCTTTCGATTTCGTCTACCTTAAATCAATGCTGTCAATCGTTAATTGACTTTTTATAATTTAAACGTTAAGAGAGATTTGTTGCCCAGGTAATGACTATCATAAATCACTTAAAGACAAATTAATTGATAATTACGTTTCGTATTTGTGGTTAAAAAGGTAGGTACATCATTCAGGCACTTTATTTAAATTAATACCTTAATAGCCAGCTGATAGTTCTGCAGCCTGCACAATTGTATTTAAAATATCTGCATTTATCAACAAAATATAGTCCATTGACTTTTTGGAAATATTTGTTGCATTTGCAGCTTTCTTCAACTTTACTGGGCTGTCGATATATGTATAAGGGCGGATCAGTGGCGGATCTAGGATTTTGTTGTGGGCGGTGATATTAAAACAATTTTCTTGCATACTTTCTGAATATCAAAATTTCCTTTATTTTTTACCCGAGTGGAGGATGATATATCACCTTTTGTGGACCGCGCATATATGTAGCTTCCTCAAGAACAATAGGGTGAACTATTTTTACAATTAATTTGTTTAAATTATTTTGCTTAAATTATTTTGCCTTTTTTTATATCATGTTTTGTGCTTATGCTATTCTAGTTAAATTTTGATTCGTGGCTGGACCAATGAAAACGGCACTCGTGTACTTCAAGTGGTTTTTAAATAAGTTCAAAGTAAGCTTAAGCTGGATTTAATAGTTTTATTCACCTTAAATTATTATTGTTGTATAAAAATCCCTTTAAATTTTCCCCGCAATATAAGGGTACATAAGTCATCATTCAGGATCTGATGAATAATGCTGGACCATTTATTAACCATTATTTAAACAGCGATCTAAACAGCTGGATGGAAGGGTGCTACCTCAAGCACCGATGTCCGAGATGCGACTCCAATCATCGAGTTCCATTCATCTCCTGATATATTTATTACTAGGTAATGTCAGCCACAGAAATTAAGAATAACAATGACGTACCGTTAGACCGGGAGTAATCTTGACGAGCTTCCTAGCGGACGTAATTGACCAGTTCAAGAGAGAAGCTGGAAAGTAATTTCCAGAAAGTAATTTCCAACTTCTCTCTTGAACTAGTCAATCACGTCGGCTAGGAAGCTCGTCAAGAACTGGTAGCCAATGGCAACCAGCTGCTCGTCATGGGGGCTTCTGTCTAGGCTAGCTTCAAGCATTTGCTTAGCCCACTTCTCCAGGGCGAGGACCTCAGTAATGCGATTGAATTCGCGGCTCTTCTTGATTTACGACGGCAGATTGAAGTAGATGTAGACGAGTGCCGCTATCATTGGTCCAGCCAAGAAAACCAAAATCTGGATCATTTTGAATAGTAGACGAGTGACGTTATCATTGGTCCAACCAAGAAAACCAGAATCTGGATCTTTTTGTAGGGAATCGACTTTTTGAACTGCTTTTGGAAAAGTTGACGGCTTGACTGTGCAAAGACGAATGTCCTAATATCAGGTAGAAGGTAAAGTCAACGGCAGTCAGCTTGAAGTTAAAAACAAAAGCCTACCACATATGTTTGTGAATATTACGTTACGCTACTACGTTTATCGATAGTCGGTTTTTGCCAAAAAGACAACAGCAAACAAAAAAAATCAACTTTGGTCAGAAGTTTTTAACGCAGTGAAGAACACGTTTTCGGCTCTATAAAATGTACACAGGAAAAGAAATCAGTCTAAAATTGTGAAAAATGTTCTTAAGTAAGGAATGTTTTACAAGGTGGTTTGACAAATTTACCTTACAATAAATTTGACTCTAAAAACGTATGCTAAATTGTATTCATATCCACGGGTGTATGAGGTAATTTAAAAACCTTTACTCGTGTCCTTACACAGTGAACGGAAATGTGGTTAAAAAAAAAGTACGCTCAGCATCTATTTGGTCAAGTTGTGATTGAAATTAATTAACGAAACTTTTCCTAATAAATTATAGATCCTTAAAAATAAATAGGTTGAGAGAGGATGACATAAGGACAGGTAAAAGTATTCACAAAAACTTTAATATATTAATGGATTCGAATAAAATAAATCTAATGGTTTTTGTCCATTGAACCCATTTATATTTGCAATCGCTGTATCTGAAAACTAGCAAATCCTTATCGAAATCAAATATTTGCATTGATAATTGCCTTCTTCCTGAGTCATAAAAGTAAACCCTCCAATCTCATGTTTGTTTAAATGACATTCAACCCCTGCCAAGGGGTTGGAAGAAGAAAGCCGATAAATGCATGCATAAGTATACATGGAGTTGAGTGTGCACATGGACCTATGTACCTCCTGACAGACTGATGTATCTACCTATATAAATTTAAATAAGTTTTCATCGATGCTGAGCTTAGAGGCTTCGGGGAGGCATATACCATAAAATGCACCCTGCTATGTAAACATGGCATTTCCCCTCCTCGAAGGTTCGCATATTGCGAGATAAAGTGCCTCGGTTCTGTTCGGTTTCATGCGTTTTGTATGTTATGTACAAGGAGACGCTTTCACCCATCGAGCAGCTTTCGTTCGGTTCGGTTGGGTTGGGCTCGTTTGGGTGGGAATAGGGATGGGTTCGGTGGGTGGTTGCGTCCTAAGAAATGAACAACCCCCGCCAGCCAAATTGTAGTTTTCAGTGGTGCGAGAATTTTAAAATAAATCGATTGAATCCCTGTTGTATCAAAAATGTTCAGTTGCCGCCATAAAGATTTCATATTACTTTTAATGGCAATCGCATTGGAGAATTTTATTAGAACGAGGTTTTTACCGTTTTCCAGTTTGTATTAGCTCGTTGAGATCCTGTTGCTTGTTAAATATATTAACAAAAAGCTTTAATTCGGTCGAAAAAAGTCAAATAGTTAACCTTCTTATCTCCACATTTTGGAAATTTATTGACCCATTTTTATAGTCAAATGACTAATCTTTTGCTCTGAATTTTGCTTAAATTATAATTTTTCCGGTAACTCCACGAGGTGTCATATTCGATATTTGAACAAATATTTCCATTGTTTCGAGCCAAATACTGATTTTTCTGCTCGAAAATAACGATTTGTTTTTTTTAATAAAAACTTGTTATTTCTTTGGTGTTTTTGGTGGAACGTTGGTGTAAAAGTTGCATTGTTTTGTACAGCTAATAACCCTATATAATAATATCTATCACTTTCCGACTGATTTAAAAAAAAATTATTTCGATCGATTTAAACATTTTTCATACATCACGAAAGTTTTGCAAAAAATGCCAAAAATAATAATTTTTAGGTTTGAATGCTAATCGATTTGTATTTTAATAACGAGCTCAACGGAATAAAACATTGAATATTTTTGGCGTTGTTACACAGCTTTACAAAAAAAGACCAAAGGCAAAGTTTCATCCTGATAGCGTTGAATCTAAACTAGTTTTTCGAAGTCATATTCACGTCTTGATTACACTGTGCAACATTTTTAGGGTTATAAAATGTAACCGCAATTCTGATTTCATTGGCGGAAAGAACTCATCGAAATAAGCTAAAACCCATTTGGGTTTCTTTGGCTTAGCTCGCGTTTACCTATTATAGCGAGTTAAAGTTTTACATACAAAATTTATTTGTAACGGCCATATCTTGTGAACCGATTAAAATTTCACTATCAAGTCTTCAGTGATTATGTAGCTATGAACTCAAGGAACTAAATTGACAAATGACTCTTGCGCACTTAGCACCTAGTGCACCTAGCGCGTTAAAAAACAAATTTGCCTAATTTTTCGATTTTTAACGCGCTAGGTGTACGTCTTCGCAAGAGTCATTTGTCAATTTTGTTCCTTGGGTTCATAGCTACATTATCACTGAAGACTTGATAGTAAAATTTTAATCGGTTCACAAGATATGGCCGTTACAAATAAATTTTGTATGTAAAACTTTAACTCGCTATAAAAGGTAAACGCGAGCTAAGCCAGAGAAACCCAAATGGGTTTTAGCTTATTTCGATGAGTTCTTTCCGCCCATCAAATCAGAATTGCGGTTACATTTTTCATGTTGCACTGTGTTACCATATATTTATGTCTGGCCAATTATATTTGAATTAAGAGTAGATCGTGTCCTAATTATTACGTCGACGAAACACTTTTTTTATAGAACTTCTGGTGTGGATTGCTCGCCGTGCCACAACCTTTCGGTATTTTCCGATTTTTGAAGTTTTTACCCATAAATGTGACTGTTTTATTAGTGGTCGGCATTCAAATGTCGCCAAGTTTTTCAAATAGAATCTGCATGCCTACCTAAAACACTCCTTTCGTTTGTAGCTTCCGAGCACTACAATTAAAAAAATGCATTTTATTTAAAACTTATTTGTACCTTTATAGTGTGTTTGGAATGCAAAAATTATGCGATACATTACATAAGCGGCCCCAAAAACATTAGAATTTATTTCGTTTTAGATACAACAATATTAAATAAATATTATTTACACCATGCGCGAATCCACGGGGGGTGGTTTTCACTCAAGTGAAAAAAGAAAGGAATTTTGCCATTCAAGAAGTATCCCGAATTTAAAAAAAAAACGACATTTTTTTGCCGTCGCAACGGAAATATTGATCTAAATATGGTTTGTCATACCTTTCTGAACTCGTTATTAAATTTCCAATCAATTGGCATTTAAACCTGAAAATTTTATTTTTTGTCCATTTTTTGCAAAAAATTATGATGTAAATTTTTATTTTTTTAAAACCACACGAAAAGTGTCATGAATTTATTTAATTTTTTGTTATCTGTTCAAAATAGTATGTGTTTTTTGTGTAAGACCATTTTTGGTCAAATTACAGAAAAAAAACAAAAATAAAAAATGTATTTTTTTGTCAGAAATCAAAATACCGAATTTCCAAAAAAAACAGTTTTTTGGACGTCACAACGGAAATATTGATCCGAATAGGGGTT